AAAAAAAAAAAATAGCTCAATTTAGCACGTCATAAGCAACCAAAATTATAGGCAGAGAACCGGTTGGACTATCACAGTGGCGATTCTTACTAAATGTATCTCCAAAGAAAAACATCTTATTAAGACAATTCCATTTTCTAACTGAGGTGCCTGGACAAGACAATCTTTGTGGCCATTTCCAGCCTGAGTCTGTAATTTCTATACACTTACAAAAGATTTTATTAGAATGAAAAGAAATGATGTCTAGAAGAAATAAAAACATTGTATACATGTATTGAAATATAAATCTGTACCCCATAAATATGCACAATAAATACATTTCAATTAAAAAATAACTTTCCTTAAATTAAAAAAAATTTTTGTGATGATGAATTTTTTAAAAATGGAAAATACGCAACTTACGCCCCCCCGACACACGCACACACATATACTTCCTAGCTTAGCCAAAAATAACTACAAATATTTACAAACTATTTTCCAATATTATTATTTTTGTTCTGAACACATATTTTATTAGTATAAGGAGGAGGACCCCATGAATGAAAGCTTCCAACTCTGAGTTTCCATGAAACCTTGAGTTTGAAGGAACTAGGTCAAACTGACCCTTCTTTGTTCAAACTAGTAGAAAACCTGATGTAATCACGGCAACAATCACAAAAGAGGGAGCACAGATGTAAATGGCTCTCAAAAGCGAATGCTCACGTGTTCCAGACTGGTGTGAACACAACAACCCAAAATGAGGACAGCCGGCCTCTCCAAGGGCCCTGGCAAAGACCCACTTTCCCCCTCCCTACCTCCACCACCAAAAAACTCCCTGACAACCCTGAAGTTAAAAAGGGATGAATATGAAGTTTTGGAGAATGAAAGCAAATGAGAGAAATTTAACATAAAAGTAAAAGAGAAACTTTAAGAACTCACCCAGGACCTAATTTCTTAATGGCTGCCAAATCAATTCCATAGTCAGCAACAAATGTGTATTGAGCACACCCAGCCCTAGAGACAGAGGGTAGAAAAGACCAGACCCTTGTCCTCATAGAACTTTCTCCTGGGAGAGAGAGACAACAAATAGTAAGCCACAAGTTCACAGGCTAAACACAGCCAATAAATTCAGTGCCGGGCTATGGCAGGGTGCGGGGACGAGGAGCCACTGCGATCGGGTGGTCAGGGAAGGTCTCTCTCAGGAAGTGACTGCTGAGCTGAGAGCCTGAAGAGGAGCCAACCAAGCAACCAGCCTGGGAAGAAAGTACCAAGTCAGAAGGTGCCCCTGTGCACACAGCATGGGACATGCAGGGGAGAAGGGCTGGAACTGACCAGCTGAGCCTGGGTCTGCAAGAACACAGACCCACAGGGCCCTTCTGGCTTCTCTAATGGAACACGGCCTCCCACCAAGAACCATCCAATGACACATTCCCTAAACTCAGGGAGCCGAGGGAGAGATTTGGGGAAAGAAAAAAAAAAAAAAAAAGGAAAAGAAAGAAAGAAGAAGTAAAATATCCACTAATGGAACAGTGTGGTAGAGCCAATCTTGGTATCACTAAATTATGCCCTCTGTGCAGAAAAGAAAACTAGGCTCAGAAAAGTTAAGTGCCTTGCACAGAGTTATATAGCTCTTAAGGGGATGAGCTAGGAGCATCCATCTGGCACATCCAGTTTCTTTCATTTTATCACGCAATTTTTTCATTTTTTAACATAAAAGCACTTGGCATAGGTTATGATAGTACATTATTAATATTCATGTGAACTGAGGATCTTCCAGTTATGATATCAGCTAAGGCTCAAATGATCTATTGATAGACTCAAAAGTTTTTCCTTGTACAATTCCTAAAAATTAATTATCTTCTTTATAAATTGATGCTAATTAACATTTCCAAACAACTTCTATATGACCTTCTAAATACGTAATTCTTAGCAGCCAAAATATAGCCAAATGTCTAACAATAGGATAATAACTGATGATGATACAGAAATATGGCAGAAGGCTGCTTAGCAATTTTAAGTGATAAGCACATGGACTCCTCCCACATGGAAACATAATATTAACTGATATTAACTTAAGTAATTTACTATTAAACAGAAAAAGCAGAGCACAACATAGTATGTACACACTGGTTACAACTTTGTGACAAAGTACATATAATTATCAACACAGATGAGAAATAAATGGAAAGGAATGAAATAAAGATACATTTTTATTAAGGTCATTTTCATTTAAAGTTCTTAAACTCACATAATAAATATGTAAGGCACCTTTCCAAAAGAAAATAATGTTTTTTTAAAAATGGATTAAAAGGTGGACTTTCCTAAAATCTATCTAGAATACTTGTTCCTGTTCTCTTCACCATTTGGAATTTTCAAAGTATAAATATTATTAGAGATTTTCTTATTTTAATTCAATTTAAATACTTGGAATTTGTATTACTGAGCATTTTAATATTGACCCAATGGAAAAAGTGCAATAGTGATTCCTATCCTGCTGTTTAATATATGAAAATGTTAACTGATAGTTGATTGCTTCCAAAAATATTAAAGAAATTTCACTAAATGCAGCTTTGATAAAGTTGTAAAACATTGCCTACATTGACTTGTGGACCTGAAAAACACGTGTTTAGTTTTCCAAGACCATAAAACAGTATTGGGATCCACTGTTCTGACATACAAAGATTCCGCAATGTGCTTCTTCTCATATTAAAGAATTTAAGTAGTTTTGTATTTATTACCCATTGCCTAGCAGTGATCTATTTAAGATGAACTATTAATTATATATACAAAATGACTTCAGAAAATTATTTTACCCCATTTCAAGATGAAAGAGAGAAAAATTTAAAAAGAGATGTTATATAGAAGAAAATTTTAAGTATTCTGCAATTCAAATATGATTGCCCGGACCCTCTATTTATCCTTAAAGGCTGGATAGACTCCACTGGCAACTGTCTACTTTTTACAGTATTCTCTAAATCAAAATGTCATAGCAAAAAAAAAAAAAAGGATAAACATAGGGAATGTATTAAATGCCACAGAATTGTACACTTTCAAACAAAAAAAAAAAAAGGATAAACATAGGGAATGTATTAAATGCCACAGAATTGTACACTTTCAAATGGTGCATTTTGTTACATGAATTTTACCTCAAAAACAACAAAAAATGGATAAAGTCATCAATATATTTCTACATTACCAAGAAAATATAATATTTATGTGATAAAGAGACAATATAGTAAATCTAAGCAACACAATTCTGAGGCTGTCCAACCAAAACATTATAAAAATAAAAAGTCATATAGTCATGATTAATATCTAAGATTGTCTTCACAAGAAGATGGAGGAAAAACCAATGTGGAGGGTGGGAGAATGAGTGAGAGTACAGCCAAACGAGATTGACCATGAATTAATAATTGTTGGAGCTGGCTGATGGCACAGGGAGTGCATTAGAGCATTCCCTCCAGTTTTGTGTATGTTTGAAACTGTCCATACTAGACAGCTTTTAAAAAAATTATATCTTCAGAATGGGTCTAATCCTGGAACTAGAAACACATGCACAGCACTGGGTACGTAAGAAGCTTAAAATGAATCAGAAAACCAGCAAAATGATCATCTTACATTATTGAACATCTGACTTCTAATATTGTCCACTGTTAACTTGTTTTTTTAATGAACAGGAAGCTTAAGCATTTCTTCAGCGCTTTATTTAAATAGACTTCATCCATAGCTCATTTTACAAAGGGGAAAAAATTACAAGATCAGTACATACCAAGAGTATCATAGGCCTTTTCCAAGTTGTTAATCCTATGATTCCAGAGAGTATCACCTGTAAGGATAAACAGTATCATAAGTCTAGAAAATGGACCAATTCCAATAAACTAATCCCTAGTCTCAAAAGTGTGTATTTTTTAAAATACTGCAATTTCAGAGCATTCTAAATCAAACACGTAATATTTCTGATTACATGAACCCTGGGAGACCACTTTGGACTGTCTTTCACTTCCAAGACTCTAACACTTTTCTATTGACTGAGTATGTTTTTTCTTAAAGTCAATTAAAAGAACCAAACAGAAATCAGCCTCTCCCTCTGGTCAACACGTAATATTTCTGATTACATGAACCCTGGGAGACCACTTTGGACTGTCTTTCACTTCCAACACTTTTCTATTGACTGAGTATGTTTTTTCTTAAAGTCAATTAAAAGAACCAAACAGAAATCAGCCTCTCCCTCTGGTCAATGAAGGAATCAGTACAACACTCCTTCTTATCTGCAGGGGATACGTTCCAAGACCCCCAGCGGGTGCCTGAAACCACGAATAGTACCTAACCCTATTTATACTGTTTTTTCCTATACATACATACCTATTATAAAGTTTAATTTATAAATTAGGTGCAGGAAGAGATTAACAACAATAACTAATAATAAAGTAGAACAATTATAACAATATGCCAGCATCACTACTCTTGTGCTTTGGGGCCATTATTAAGTAGAATAAGGGTGACCTGAACTCAAGCACTGCAATACCTCGACAGTCAATCTGATAACCTAGATGGCTACTAAGTGACTCATAGGCCAGTGGCGTCTATGGCGTGGAGATGCTGATCAAAAGTCTGATTCACGACCCAGGCTGGATGGAGCTGGACGGTGTGAGATTTCATCTAGCCACTCAACTTCATGCAATTTAAAAATCATGAATCATTTCCGGAATTTTCTATTTAATATTTTTGGACCATGGTTGTCCTCAGGTAACTGAAACCATGGAAAGCGAAACCGCAGATAAGGGGAGGCTACTGTATTTCCAACCCAAGCTCCCTGCTCCCAGGAGCATCCAGTCTGTTGCCAGAGTCAGCCTCATAAGATGCACATCTGGCCATATCCCTGCCTTCATTAGGTAGGTACCCATCCCTTATGGGACAGGTAAACTCCTGGAAATGGAAAATGAGTCTTTCCAGATCTTTCCTTGCCCACCTCTCAGTCCTGGTTTCTATGTATCCTGCCCCTCCACCTCACACCTCCTTCCAAGCACACCTGCCCTTCCTCATCCCAGCCAGGCTCCAGACATGCCTCAGCTATGTGCTTCTTTCTCTTTGCTGCAGTGACCTCTCCTCCCATCTCCCCCCTTACTGCCTGAGAACTCCTATCCATCCTGCAATATCCCAGTGAATAGTCACCTCCTCTGAGAAGCCTACCTGTGCTGCCTGTCATATGACTAGCAACTCATAAACGTTCCTGAGCATTTACTGCACAAAATGGGAGGAACCACAGTGAGAAAGAGCTCACAATAAACAAGCTAAAATTCTCGGTAAAGAAGAAGCAGTATTTGGCCAAAACATAAACTGGACAACGAAGTCAGCCCTTTGAATAACACAGTTCACTAAGCAATTGGGAAAGAATAATCAAAGTAATTATTCAGCCCAGAATGTTCTGATGCCATCTGAGCACATTTACCTTTGTGTAATAAAGAGTATCTGCTGAATACAGTTATGAGGGTTTTCCTTCAATGTGTACATTTTATGTCCCCAAATCCCTCAAATGCACCAATTCACAATTACTGTTTATTAACTATAAATCACTAAGGATTTGATGGTGTCACTTCAAATTCACACAGACCTGCTTGCAACACCCTCCATTCTCACTAGCCAAGAGCAAATCATCCCACATCATCAAACAAGCAGGGGACAAGTCTACTCACTTATATCAAGGACCAAAACCATGCATGGACAAGTAGGTGACAATTTCTTTGTATCCCATCTATGTTCAAATGGACTACTAGCTGCCTGTCCACCAGGCACCATATCCTTGCAATCTTCTTCAGTCCAGTAGAATATTTCCCCACCCTGAACAATCTCCATCTGGAGACACTCAGGGCATGTGCAGCTCATCCTGAGTGTGCAGGCATCATCAACTTTACAAATTAAAACTGGAATCCATGAGACCCTGGTTCCAGACTCCCATTCAGTTTCTAAAATTAGCTGCTGGGGAAACACACGCGGTTTTTGTGAAAACATAACTGAAAATCTGAGTGCCCTTTATGGAAACACAAACTGCCCACATCAGTAAAAAACAAATATGATTTGAATAATCAATTAGTATTTGATATTTATGCCACCAGTCTCTGTTAATACAGACCCCTGCGGTTTAGCTTTTGAGGACATATTTTTCCATTAAAACAATCTTATCAAAGTGAGATGTCCAGCCCCAGCCATAAAAGCCCATAAAGTAGTTACAAGACTAAGGTGTACTTTCCACCTCCCCACCCAGCCACATCATCCCACCCTCCTCTGTGCCAACAATTAAATATGTTTACATATTTTACATATGTACATATTTTTCCCTAAATTCTTATCACTATGCATTCATATATATGTGTGTGTATACATACACAGGGGTGTGGTTTTTACCAAAAATGGATCATTAAATACATACTTTTCCTGCCTCTTTCGTTTTCTCTCAATAAATACTTCATGAAAATCTCTTCATTTCCAATGGAATAGCTCTAATCTATTTCAGTTTAATGGCTACATAATACCCCATTGTATGGTTGTACCTAATGTGTTCAATCATTTCCATATTCATGGACATTCACTGCATTTCCAGGTTTTTGCCCTCACAAACAGTGTGGCAGTACACACCCATGAACATATATCTTTAAAAATAAGTGCTGTTATTGCTGTTGGAAAAGTCTCAGGAATGGGATTGCTAAATTAAAAGCTATTTATATTTTTTATTTTAATAGATCATGACAGATGCAACTGTCATTTCAAATGAAGGGTCTCTGAGACAAAAGAACTAAGCTATCGTTATTTCCCCGTTGGGGGGTGGTATTTTCTTTGCATATAGTAGCAACAAACTATAGAAAATGCCATTTTAAAATACATCCAAAATGTATCTGACAAATAACAAATATCAATAATCTCAAAATATATGTGAAAGAGATACTTAAGACCTCAGCGAGGAGAAATATAAAGCTTTACTAAGCAATATTAAATGAAGACCCAAATAAGTCAAGACATATATCATGTTCATGGATTGGAAGACAAGCTATTTAATGATGTCATTTTCATTTGAATTGTTTTATAGACTCAGCCCCCCCCCCCCCCAGTTAAATCCCAACAGGATTTTGTAAACTGCTCTTCTTTGTATGGACACTTTAAGAAACTACATTCCAGCTCCAGGCAGGGGCTGCTCAGCTGCATCCTCCTGCAACCAAGGCACACACCTGCTTTTACTCAACTTCTGCCTCTCTTCAAGCCCAGCGAAGCCCTAAGGCACTTGGGAAACCTGTGAGTGGTGAAGGGGAGAAAGGCAAACTAAGGAAACAGGGCTTGGTGGCTAGAAGCCTCTGGAACAGTGGTAGGAACAGAGGTGCTGCAGTTGGGGATGAATCTTTTAAGAGCTCAAGACTTAGGGGATGGATGGTCACATTCCCTCTGAAAGAGGAGTGAAATTCACAAATAGGGAGAAGGGCTGGGGAAGCAAGAAAAGAAAGAGGCAGAGTATTCGGTGCCTCCACCTTCCTCAGTGGCAGCAGAAGCTGGAACTCCATGAGAAGGGAGTCAAGAAGGTCCCTTAACACTGGCCTTTCGGGCTGGCCAGTTAGCTCAGTTGGTTAGAGTGCAGTGTTGTAACACCAAGATCAAGGGTTTGGATCCCTATACTGGCCAGCTGCAAAAACAAAAACAAAACAACAACAAAAAAACATGGCCCTTCATGGCTCCCATTCCACCACAATGCTATTACTTGTTTAAGGAGGGCCTGGACCAGTTAGTACCCTAAAGGCTCCCAGAAGTTACTCAATTAGTTATGGCAAGAGTCAATGAACTAGTGAATGAATGAATGGAGACCAGAATAGGAGATGAACTTGCCCAAAGAAGACTAGGTAAACCTAAACACACTTTTTACCCCCTGTGCTTCCTAAAAGACTGTACCAGCAGCAAAAAGCAACTCCATCAGCATTCTTTCCACCCAGCTCAAGATGCAACTTGCCCTGAATGAACAGGCAAGAACCTATTTTCTAACACCAAACTATCTCTCTATATTATTATAATGAGATTTATTTTTGTTTCACTCACTTGTAACCCATTCCTTGTAGCTTACACAAAAAAGCAGAAGCCTTCTTTTTTCTGGTATTGCAGAGAAGGTCTCTGAGATACTCCAGGCAGGAGTCATTGTTACCCACCATATATGGTTAATGTGCCTTAATTTTCCAGCTTAAAAATCAAACCATTAGGATCAAAAGCTTATAATTCTACTGCCCTATTTTCCTTTGCTAATCCATGAACATGCCTTAGGGCAAAAATGTTCTGGATCATATGTCAAAAGCTGTTATATCTAAACATAGGGATACAAGGAGCCACGTTATAAATGTTCCAAGTTTACCTTGTAAATAAGCACAAAATAATTAATCGAACCTTGCAACAACCTATTTTGCCCTATTGCTTTTACACTAGCAATTTAAAACAATGTGTACGTGTATGTGATTCTTCCCTATCTGTCTAGTATGACTCATTTAAAAAACTGAGAAAGTGGGCAACTGGATATTTCTAATGTATACATGATGGTTACCATAATGTCCTGCAAAAAACTGGCCTGTTCACCTTACTTTGATTAAATATTGCCTTGATGTTTAAAAAACAGTGACAGAAGTTCTAGTATGTGCCAGGCCTGGCTCCAGGTTCAGGTTCAGCAGCAAAGCACTCTCCTATATGTTCTCTAATTACACTCTCACAAAATCAGTCCTGAGGCAAGAATCACCCCACCCATTTTACAAATGAGTAACTGAGGCTGAGGCTCAATGATTTGCTCAAGGTGCACAACTTATGTTT